CGCTACCGCCTTCCTCCTGCTGTTGTTCCCCTTTTCCTTCATCCTCCTCCACCGCCTCTGCCCAGTCTTCCACGGTCGTCTCGGAGATGCTGCCCATGCCGTCGCTCCCCTCCCCCGCCAGCCCCTCTTCCTGCTCGCTCGATGTTGATTCTGCTCTTTTTGCATGCCTCTCCCCTTCTCCCCCTCCATCCGTCGCTGGTGGCTGCTGCTCAGCCACCTCCCCACGTCCTTCCCTCACCAGTTCCTTATCCAGGTCCAGTTTGGTCCCACCCCCTTCCTCATCCCTCGCTCCTCCTACCCTATACGCCCTAACCTTGTTGGCGTACGACTCCGGACAATTTTTGTACAGGTGTTCTCGGCTACCGCAGAGGTTACATTGTGCCGGAACACTGCATTCTTCTACCTCGTGGTCCAGTGCCTTGCATCTATAGCAGACTTTTGTCTTGCACACTGCAGCCAGGTGACCGCTGCCCCCACACCTCCTACACAGTTTAGGTTGTCCGGCATACACCACATATCCCCGGTTGCCTCCTATGTTCAGGGCACTCAGGATGTGTCTCAAGGTCCCTCCCTCTGTTTTCAGCCGCACCCTCCATTGTCTTGCCCCTGTCCATATCCCCACTGAGTCCCTCACCTTTTTACAGCCCGACAGTACCGAGCAGTGCTGTCTTAGCCAGACCTCCACGTCGTGGTCATGTAGGGCTTCATTGTATAGGAAAATAGTCACCACCTTCGTGTCCAGCTCTGATAACAGTTGTAGCTTCATTGACATCAATGGCTTCTCCTCCGCCTTTTCCTCGAAGCGGGTCATAAATCTTTGTAGCAGGGGGCTTGAGTTGAAGCTTACATCAAACGCCCTCCCTCCCGGCAGAGTTATCAAACAGTACAAGTCTGTCGGCTCTATTTGTAGCAAGCCCATCATTATTGACCGTACAAAGGTCGCTCGGTCGATGGTCACTTCTTCTGCTACCTCGTCCTTCATCATTACTCTGACGCAATTATGTCGTTTGACATGAGGTGGTGTCAGACTCACCCCTGCCCCGCCTCGCCATTTCCCGTCTCGTTCCCGGGGCCTCCCAGCTCCCACCGGTCCAGCGTCCACTGTCACGTTCCCCCTCCGGGCCTCCCCTTGCCCCAGGGTTGCTGGGGTCTCTCTGGCTTCATTCCACACCCTCCACTCGGGGGCCCCCGCATCTCTGCGTCCGGACACCGTACCTTTTTCTCCTCGGCCTCCCTCACCCACTCCATCAGCTCCCGCCCTCCCATCCAGTTCCTCCATCCTCTCCTTCTGCCGTGCCTCCGCCACGTTCCCCTCCATCCATCTCCCTGCCTCCTCCACGCATCCCCCTGCTGCCAGCGGGTCGGTCTGGTTGCCCCAGTCCCCACCGGCAGCGTAGGTGGTGTCGGTGGCCCTCTGCTTTCGCCGCGTCTTCTTCTTGTCTCCTGCAGTCACCGTCTGGCCGACTCTGTCGTCCCAGGCTCCCTCAGCAGTGCAGGTGGCATTCATTTCTCTTGACGCACTCCCTGCTTCCTTTTCATCTGCTGCGAGCATAAGCTGGGCGGCTCGGTCATCCCGGTCTCCTTCAGCAACTCGGGTGGCCCTCGTGGTCCTTGACTCTCGCCATTTCCCCTCTTCGTCTGTTGCGATTTCCGTCTCCATTCTCCAGCAGTCCCCACTTCTTGGCAGCGTGGTCATCCCTGGCCACACTGTCAGGGCCCTCGCAGGCCTCGGGGCTGGTGGCTAGGTCTCACTTGAGATCCGGACGGGCTGGAAGGATCACCTCGATGCTCCTGGTGTCTCCCCTGGCGAGCCAGGGCGATTTCCCCCTCATCGGGCAATTCGCCAGAATGGTGAGGCTCTGCTGTGTCTCCCGATCTTATATAGAGCAGCAGCAGGGTGACGTCATCATTAACTCATTAACTCATCTGGTGCAAAGATTTGAGGGGGGGGGGGGGTTATTGTAATGATATACTAGATTGGTAATCAGGCTATTGTTACGATGCGAGTTGTAGATTAGTAATCATTTGGAATGTGTTTTATTGTGATTATGCTACATTAGTAATCAGTTAGTGTTTGTTTCCCTTATAAGGAATTGTAATGCATCTTATTTAATAATACGCTTCCAGGCCGCACGGAGCCTGTAGCTGTCTGAGCGATTAAAGTTATTTCTGTTTCTCTCAATTTCAATGGATTCTCTAATTAGTCTTTGCCAGTAGTAACTAGTTTTACACAACACTTCAACGTTGTCAAAATCAATTGAGTGTCCCTGTTGGCATGCATGTTCTGCCACTGCCGACAGTTGTGTTTGTGATAGTTTAATATTTCTCTGGTGTTCTTTTAGTCTTACACTAACGTTACGCCCTGTCTGTCCAATATAGCATCTGCCACATACACAATTAATCCGATATACACCTTCTGTTGATAATTTAGGTAATTCGTCTTTAGTGCACGTTACTAGTTGCTGAATTTTGTGTACTGTACCAAATCTTACTGTAATGTTTTGCTTTTGCAAAACACGGGCTAATTTGTCAGTTACTCCTGAGATAAATGGTATTTTTATTGTTTTAATAATCTGATCGCTTTCAGCAGTGTTGCTTTGCGATCGTGATTTGGCATTTAGTGCTCTGTTAATTTGAGCATTATTGTAGCCATTCTGTCTTAGTGCTTCTTTAACATGTTTAATCTCTCTCACTAGACTTTCACCATCTGACACTGTTTTAGCCCGATGTATGAGCGTCTTGATAAGAGAGGATTTCTGAGCTGGGTAATGATGCGAATCTGCATTCAGATAGGCATCAGTGTGCGTTTTCTTTCTGTAAACGCTGTGTGTTATCAGCATCCCTTAACGACTCATAGTCAGTACAATTGGCTCTGCCACATATAAATTAGCAAAGTATGTAACTAAACAAATACAGCCCTACATCGGTAGGACATCATCATTCATAAGAAATTCAGAACATCTTGTGAATATGATCAAAGACATTTAACTTAACCCTAATGTTATTTTGGTGAGTGTTGATGTGATTTGGCTATTCACTAAGGTTCCAGTGAGCGAGTCGCTTAAATTACTTGATACACTGGTAAAGAATACAGGTTTACCAAAAGATATTCCGAAACTCGCTGACCATTGTTTAAATAACACTTACTTCTTATGGAGTGGCGAATTCTTTAAACAAAGGGAGGGAGCAGCAATGGGCTCTCCTTTATCTCCTGCTATAGCAAATTTGTACATGGAAAACTTTGAAACCAGAGCACTTGCCTCGAGCACATTAAAACCATCCTTTTGGTTTAGATATGTGGATGACACTTTGGTTGTCTGGCCACATGGTAAAGATACACTTAACGATTTTCTAAATCATCTCAATGCACAAAACCCGACCATTCAGTTCACCATGGAAATGGAGGTTAATAACACACTCCCGTTCCTGGATATTTTACTTGGGCATGGCCTAAATGGTAAAATAACACACAGCGTTTACAGAAAGCAAACGCACACTGATGCCTATCTGAATGCAGATTCGCATCATCACCCAGCTCAGAAATCCTCTCTTATCAAGACGCTCATACATCGGGCTAAAACAGTGTCAGATGGTGAAAGTCTAGTGAGAGAGATTAAACATGTTAAAGAAGCACTAAGACAGAATGGCTACAATAATGCTCAAATTAACAGAGCACTAAATGCCAAATCACGATCGCAAAGCAACACTGCTGAAAGCGATCAGATTATTAAAACAATAAAAATACCATTTATCTCAGGAGTAACTGACAAATTAGCCCGTGTTTTGCAAAAGTAAAACATTACAGTAAGATTTGGTACAGTACACAAAATTCAGCAACTAGTAACGTGCACTAAAGACGAATTACCTAAATTATCAACAGAAGGTGTATATCGGATTAATTGTGTATGTGGCAGATGCTATATTGGACAGACAGGGCGTAACGTTAGTGTAAGACTAAAAGAACACCAGAGAAATATTAAACTATCACAAACACAACTGTCGGCAGTGGCAGAACATGCATGCCAACAGGGACACTCAATTGATTTTGACAACGTTGAAGTGTTGTGTAAAACTAGTTACTACTGGCAAAGACTAATTAGAGAATCCATTGAAATTGAGAGAAACAGAAATAACTTTAATCGCTCAGACAGCTACAGGCTTAGTGCGGCCTGGAAGCGTATTATTAAATAAGATGCATTACAATTCCTTATAAGGGAAACAAACACTAACTGATTACTAATGTAGCATAATCACAATAAAACACATTCCAAATGATTACTAATGATTACTAATCTACAACTCGCATCGTAACAATAGCCTGATTACCAATCTGAGTCTCACCATTCTGGCGAATTGCCCGATGATGCTGGATGCAATTACCAGCGAAACGTCGTACTCGAATTGTAAATGTTGTGGTTTCACGCTTCAACACACCGGTGGGCTAAAGCAGTGAACTATTTGTCTTTTGTCAACGTGACACTTTTTACTGATTGGCCGTGTCGGGTGGTGGAGGGTTACGACACATTTATAAATAACGCGATCTAAACCCAAAAACGTTGATTATGAATAATATTGGTCGCGAAAGCCTACGTGTTAAACTTATTTTATTATGTTTTATTTTTATTATTTTATTATTTCCCTTCTACGTGACTTTACCGAAAGAACCAAGAAGATGAATCCCTGCAGTCACGAAAGCTTTAAATCGAAATTTAAGATGTATGATGTTAAGGGAGGAAACAATGTTCCAAAACGTTGGTGCTGCAATGGCAAAGGCTTTGTTCCCTATTCCCATTGTTGCTGATTATGTTGTTGCTGATAAAACTGTATGGTTAAGTGGGACATTTGTTGAAATATATTTAACTTAAAGAACGGGGAAAACAACATTCTAATTACCCATTTTCAACAAGTACTCTGTGCATGGTAAGCTGATGCAAAGAGGCATGATTGCTCTTCGGAAGCAGCAAGCAGAGAGCATTGTTTGTGAATGTGTGCGATTGCAGTGCAAAAGACAAAGAAGCTGCAGCGAATCAACGGGGAGCTGGAGGGGGTGCTCAAAGAGCGGCGTGCCCTAACACAGCGGCTGCTGGAGCCCACCACCACGGCAAGCGTCGCTTTGGACGCAAACTACCACAGGTGCCTGGGCAGAGATTGCACAGGGAGTGCAACAGAAGAGGGGTGGCCACGAGTTTGGAGTGAGGATGCCTATGGTTTTATGGGGAGAGGGCAGCACACGACGTCCACACAGAATGAGGAAAAGAGCCAGCTTGAGGATGTGGCTGTTGAGAATGTTAGCTTGACAATTATATGTTGTACTAGCTTTACTACCCGGCTTCGCCCGAGACTTGGATTCTCATCTTGGATTAATACACGGCCTACGCGGAGGGTGGGGGGGGATGCGTGACGTCAGTAGGCACACTGCGTGACACTGCCGCATGCGGGTGACGTCACCGCTCACTTGCTCTGCAAAATATATCCATTATTGCGCCCCCCCCCCCAAATACAAAAGTATTTTTTTATACTTTTTCCATTGTGTACAGTCTGGAAGCTACCCACATGCCAAATTTCAGGTTTGTTGTATGTTGGGAAGTATGCTAAACATTTCGAACAGACACACATATTCACAAATTTCCATTTTTTATATATATGGAGAGGCACAGAGAGAAGAACAAAGCTGTGCACGTGTCGTTCCTCGACCTTGAAATGGCATTTGACAGGGTCCCCCACGACCTCATCTGGCACTCGCTTCGATCCCATGGAGTCCCTGAAACCTACGTGCATTGGGTGCAACTCCTAGGATCGGCCCTGTCACCACTCCTGTTTATCCTGTGCATGGACACGATCACTGCCGACCTGCACACGCCCCTTCCATGGTCAATTCTCTACGCGGATGACGTCCTCCTCTCAGATGAAGAGAGAGGAGAAGTGGAAAGACAAACGCGCCTGTGGAAGGAACGTTTGGACGAAAACGGGATGAGGTTCAACATCAAAAAGACGGAGCATATGGAGTGTGGCCCCCAAACCGACGGCACCATCAGCATTGACGGAGAAGATCTGAAGAAAGTGACGGACTTTAAGTACCTGGGCTCCACCATCAGCTCAGATGGTAGAATCACGACTGATGTGAGGTCACGAGTCAATGCGGCGTGGATGAAATGGAGGCAAGTCACCGGAGTCCTCTGTGATCGGAAAATGCCAGATAGGCTGAAGGGAAAAATATACAAGACCATCGTCCGACCGGTGGCACTCTATGGATCCGAGTGGTGGCTAGCCACAACTGTACACGAACAAGCTCTCCACACCATGGAGATGAGGATGCTCAGATGGAGCCTCGGGCTCACTCGATGGGATCGTGTCAGGAACGAAGACGTTCGGAAGCGACTTGGTGTGGCCCCCATTGCGGACAAGATGCTTGAGGCAAGGCTTCGGTGGTACGGCCATGTGATGCGAAGTGAAGAGTCATCAGTGGCCAAGACTGCCGTGCGTATTGAGCCAGAGGGCCGCCGTCCACGCGGACGTCCGAAGAAGCGATGGATCGAATAAAGGAAGACATGAAGACGGTCAACGCATCCCCTGAAGATGCCCTGGACCGAGCTAAATGGAGAAGACAATGCCGAAAAGCGGACCCTGCGCCACAGCGGGAACAACGCTAGGAAGAAGAAGAGATGTTGTTTGAATGTCATTCTTTATTACAGGCTCACCAGCAGTGGTTCTCAACTTGTTTTGGACTGAGGACCCCCTGCACCCCACGATAACAATCTCACAGAATTATAATTTTGTGAGAGCTGTGTTCGAAAGTCATGAATGCAGAAGGGAAGATACAGTAATACCTCGATATACAAAGTAAATGCGTTTCTGGAGCTTCGAATATTAAATAACTTCTAACAGTACTAGGAGTATACGTTCACAGCCTTTATAACTTACCATTTCATACTGTAAACACATAACTTATGATTCATATTGGAAACAAAAACTATTTCTATTGAAAATAGTATTTATACTGTACAGTATTTAAATATTTTTTACTTAGTATACTGTAAAATATATTCACACTAGTATAGCCTTCGGTGCAGTCATAAGGTTGTATTGCCCACCAAACACTATAGCTCCGTACATGGCTTTGGTGGGAGAGGGGGTGTGGAGTTAGTTGTAGGGAAATCTTGACTTAAAGCTTTTGTGACTGGGTCTTTTGGTAAAGTCACATATATAGGTTCAAATATAATAACAAAAACTATGATGTTTCGATCGCAACACAAGCGGTCGTCATCCAAGCTTGTGTTGCGATCGAAACGTCGTAGTTTTTGTTATTTTCTTTGAACCTGTCTACGTGACTTTACCGAAAGACCCAAAGAATAGTTGTAGGGAGCGTGTTGATTGGCCAAGACGAATGTTAACAAGCATTCTATGAACATCGCGATGCACAACGCTCAAGAATCCAGATCTTGTTATTTTACTATGATTATTTAACACGATCATTGTTTCTTAAATCAATGTTGTACCTTTACTTATGTTTACAAGATCAGTTGTTAAAGCAGTTCCACTGTGTGTACAAACAATTAACTGCTGACATAAACCAATTGTTCTAACAATCTTGGGATTGCAGCATTCTTGACAGGATTGGCAAGGCAGCCATGATTCTAATGACGATTGCTATTGGCGTGCTCTGGTGGTATTAGGCAAGCAGTGGAGCTCCTGAGTCTTGTGAGCCGTCTCCTGGCCGATCTGGAGGGGAACGTGTCCCTTTTGCACGAGGTCAATGCCTTTCACATCCAGCACAAGAAGCTGGTGAGAGCTCCAGTCCCTGCCACGGTTGAGCATGGGTCCTTGTGCAGCTTTGTACCCGTGTTCCTTTTTCTGTGCTGTGCTTGTGCACAGTTCACTTTGCCGGCTGAGAGAGGAGGGTGGTGATTGATACGTGTGATGGTATGGCCATATTCTTAACACATGGGGGGAGCGGTGGCCTAATGGTTCGTGCACCGAGCTTCAAATCTGGCAGCGTGCGTTCGATTTCCCGCCACGGATAACACCAGTGGTGAGTAATATCCCCATGGTCAATTCGGCCCTAAATGAGTAGTGTGGCATGTAAACATCCACACTGGGGACACAAAGGTGGCTGGGAGTGGTCCTAGCCACACCACTCTTTCATGTGCCTTGATGGCCTGCATAAATGATTGCTACTCTAACATTTGCCCCAACAGTCTGTGTAGTTTATGCAGGAGATTTTTTACCACGTGTTTTACAAAAAAAATTTGCATTGAATATGCATACGCCGATTGGCTTGTGTAAATAACACGTTCACTCGTGATGGAAAGCCAGCTCTTTACAGGTGGTGTTAACAGAATAATATTTCTCGTGTCTGTGACTGTACCACTTTTTTTTTCAGAATGAGGAGTGGATGCAGCTGAGTTCGTCGGCACAGCTCCGGGAGGAGGCAGCAAGAGCCTTGCTGCGACTGCAGGATGGAACGCAGTTGCTTCACAGCGCCACTCGCCCACATTGAACAGAATCTTGACGGCATCGACCCAGCGCCCCTCAAATATCGGATGTGCGCTGCACTTAAGCTCCCAGCACCAGAGCTGTGGAACTCCTCTTGTAGTAAAACTGCTAAATACAGAATACCCTACGGTTGGGCAAGGACACCCATAGCTGCCAGAGCCTTGGTAATTTTAGCATTACCAGAGGCAGATAAACTTTCAGCCAGTCGATGGCACTACAATCATGGAGAGGGTAGTGCTCACTTCTCAGTGACCTTGCAGCAACCAACCAGCTCACCTAGAGGTGATGCACAACAATTTAAAGGCAGTACAAATTAAAAATAAATAGACATTATGTTGCATAATATTACCAATACAGACTTTGCCTGCATTGACTGCTCAAGTGAAATAACATTGAAATAAAACTTAACAATATTATTCTGCCATCTAGTGGTGTTTTATATCCATTCCAAATGGCAGTGGTGTGATGGCAAGATTTTTGGTGGTACCAGAGATTCCAAAATTTAAGCTGACATTCTCAGTAGCTCAATCAGTTTTGTCAGTCCCGTGCATTGATACCATGTCACTTGTGGTTATTTTAAGAGTAAATAAAGATTCAAAAGTTAAATTGTATTTTTTTCATCTTCTTGTTTCTTTCGGTAAAGTCACGTAGAAGGGAAGTAATAAAATAATAAAAATAAAACATAATAAAACAATTCTCACGACGTTTCGGCTACAACGCAAGCAGCTGCTTGCGTTGTAGCCGAAACGTCGTGAGAATTGTTTATTTTATTACTTCCCTTCTACGTGACTTTACCGAAAGAAACAAGAAGATGGATCCCTGCAGTCACGAAAGCTTTAAATCGAAATTTAAATTGTATTTGAATGAATATTAAAAGTCTGTCTTCCTGCTTCAGTGAGTGTGGGATGATGCTCATCATCCCCACCTCCGATTAGCACAGTTGGCTACATACGGTGAAAAAGAAGTTGAACATATTAATTGGAGGGCCTGAACTAGTGGTGGAAATTCCACATTTCCATGACAGGCCAATCGCATTCGAATCGTATATACGATTCAAGTTATGTCACCTGTGAAAAAAAATGTGGATGTATGTTGAACTTCTTTGACACCATACATAGCCAACCGTGCTAATGAATGAAAAGACAAATTTACAGATTCCCTCGTTATTCACGAACTTGCGATCCGTGAATCGCATCTGGAACTCTACATGACTGCATCGAGAGAGAAAGAAAGTGATGAGATAAAGAGATGTGTTACTCTATTTTTATGTAATCAATAGCTTATTTATGTATTTCAGGCAATTCATAAAAAAATGTTTTGGTCGGAGAATATCATAGAAATGTGCTAGTCACGAGCATCTCTGAAATGTAACCCTCGTGAATAATGAGGGAATGTCGTATATGCTTTTGTTGATTATATACATCAGTGTATCGCAGCCGGTGTGCCGTGGCCAAGTCCCAGGTGTTGAGTGTCTGATCCAGCCCCCCCACCCTAGCTGTCCTCTCTCCATTGGTCAGGTTGCAGATCGGCAGAGAGCCAGACATCAGTCCCCACCCCAAGCGCTCTCAACTCCTTTGGTGACACGCAGTTGGGCAAATACGGAGACAAATTAATACAGATGTAGGACTCGTACTCTCGTTGTCTTTCTCGTCTCGTTTATTCACGCGTAGAGTTCACACCTCATCATCGCTCCGTGTCTCTCCGTTCGCTCCGATGCACAACTCGCCATTAACAACACTCCATGTCTCCCCATTTCTACCGTACACTGTATCCTCTATCCACTGCTACCGTACACTGTGTTCTCTCTATCCACTGCTACCGTACACTGTTCTCTCTATCCACTGCTACCGTACACTGTGTTCTCTCTATCCACTCTACCGTACACTGTATTCTCTCTATCCACTCTACCGTACACTGTGTTCTCTCTATCCACTGCTACCGTACACTGTGTTCTCTCTATCCACTCTACCGTACACTGTATTCTCTCTATCCACTCTACCGTACACTGTATTCTCTCTATCCACTCTACCGTACACTGTGTTCTCTCTATCCACTGCTACCGTACACTGTGTTCTCTCTATCCACTGCTACCGTACACTGTGTTCTCTCTATCCACTGCTACCGTACACTGTATTCTCTCTATCCACTCTACCGTACACTGTGTTCTCTCTATCCACTGCTACCGTACACTGTGTTCTCTCTATCCACTGCTACCGTACACTGTGTTCTCTCTATCCACTGCTACCGTACACTGTGTTCTCTCTATCCACTGCTACCGTACACTGTGTTCTCTCTATCCACTGCTACCGTACACTGTGTTCTCTCTATCCACTCTACCGTACACTGTATTCTCTCTATCCACTGCTACCGTACACTGTATTCTCTCTATCCACTCTACCGTACACTGTGTTCTCTCTATCCACTGCTACCGTACACTGTATTCTCTCTATCCACTGCTACCGTACACTGTTCTCTCTATCCACTGCTAACCATACACTGTGTTCTCTCTATCCACTCTACCGTACACTGTGTTCTCTCTATCCTTATCGTACCTATCCCTGCTCACTGCTGCTCCGTCTCTCTCCCGGGCACCAACCACTCCAGCTCCAATCCCAAACAAGACTCCCGTCTCTCCGTTACGCTGTGCCCTATATCCCCGCACCAATCAGTCCCAATCAATTATCTCATCCCCCGCTTTGCTACTCGCCCCCAGGCCCCCAGCCTCACGTGAACATGTTATTGCCGCCAGGCCGGCGTCGGTCATTAACCACTCACCCTCCTGACCAATCACCGGCCTGCGTCCTCAGTCACCCCTAACACCTGTCGTGTCTCTTAACGACCCCCCCCCCCCCCCTTAATTCAACGACAACTACAACCGTGTCCTCAGATGCTCCCACTGTACTCTGCTCGCTTGCCTAGCAACAGAACGCGTGGCGCGTGATTTCAAGTCCTACACAGATACGGAGACACAACAACAACAACACCTGCCATTCGCCACTAGTGGCGTTAACTTCACGGCACCTATGCCAGGCCAGGTGCACTTTGAGGCCACGTGAAGTGTCAAAGGCTCATTGACAGGAGGCAACGGGACAGACCCAGGAGCCATGGATTGACTGACTGAGATGACTTGCAGATGCACTAGCAGTGTCCCCTACTGTGCCAACGTTCTGCATTTTAGCCGTCCAGCACTCTTATCGTTTTGAGCATCATTCCTCTGCACTCCTTTGTTGCTGGAGGGCGACTGCCTCCAATTGCCCAGCAGCGCCCTTCACGAGCCTCCTTCATTAGAGGCCGATATTTACACTGCTGGTAACAGTCCACTAAGCTCCACATCCTCCTATATTGCATCAGTCCATCTCTTTTACAGCCCGTGTCATGCCCGTTTATCCTCCTGTATGCGGCCAAAATAGAGGCTGCTTGGGCATGCCATGGCTGGAAATGCAGGCTACATGACCCAGCCAATGCAGCCTTACCTGCCGAAGAAGCTCACTGATGGGAATGTGTCTAGGTCGAGGTCTTTCAAGGATTTGTGAGCTCACACAATCCAGCCTGGTTAAACCCAGGATGGATCGTAGGCAGGCCAGCCTGAATGTTTCTAACCAGCACAGTTCCATTAGAGGGGCCCACGTTTCACTAGCTCACACGAACATGGAGACATGCGTTTACCATTATAATGCGGGTGTTATTCGTGCCCCCATACGCCCGCGTTATATCGTGCTTTTACTGGATGTGTGACTTTTAACAAAGTAGCACTTGTTCATCTAATTTCTCCAGTTGTGAATCAAGCACTGAACTACAGCGCCCTCTAACAGGTGAGTGGTAAAAAATATATCACTGATACCCATACGAGTATTAAAACTAGAATTTTTTTCTATGACGTTGGGTAAGGGCAGTCGTTCTGAACCGTTTGCCTGTGGTGTTACCCCCGTACTGGCACTGTAAACCGTTTCGTACTGCTGAATGAAGGCATCTAAAAGCCGTTGCCACCTGACGATCTTGAAATGTAACAATTCTTCCAGTACCTAAACTGATTTAATCACTCCATCTTCTCGCCGCCACTCCTTATTAATCTTGCCCATCATCCCTTCTAACGGCGTGTCCTGCCCAAGCCCGCTTTTATTAAAAGTTTCGATGATGTAATTAGCCTGTTTGTGTTTTTTTAAATAAAAGGGTTAGTTCAGCACAATCAGGTAAACTCGGACAATCCACAGATGAGTCGTAGGCACGTCATTAGCACTCCATAGTCCACCATGTCACACGCTGCCAAGAGATCTACAAACAGCATGATGGAATGGATCTTCTAGTCTCTTGCTAGCAGATCAATCAGAACCATAGCTGGAGCTGTCTGAGTACTATTGTGGTGCCTCGACCGCGGAGCGACTCCGCAAGCGCCGCAATTCCCCCCCACCCCCGAGCACACGCACACGTAGTGTCCCGGCGGGGGATTGCCTGGCACAACGCAACGAGTCACGCACGACATCGGGCAGAGGGCTGGGGTGAAATATTAAGCGAGCAGGGCAGACGATGAGCGCGGGGGGATCCCCGCGCCACCGACCAAGTACACACTGACCAGGTGTGTATACGCCAGCCGGACACTCTCCCAGATTAAACCGGCTGAGTCAGGGATTAATGAGTATGGGTGCAGAGACAATGGGCCGAAAAATAACGTAACGTATAAGGGCAGAAAAACGTTTGAAAATCACAGGTAGGCTCACGATTGGCTGCGCAGGATAACGTAACCCCAGATGTTTTTTTTTTATCAAGGGGCATAACAAGGGTAGCCCGAAACGATGAACGGATACTCTGGCCGCACTATCCGCCAAGCTGTTTCTCCCACCATACAGAAACAACCACTTGAAACTCTGATCAAAACTATCACGTTGCCATATATAGCAGGCGTGACCAAAAAGTTCTCCAAAATTCTAAACAAACATAAGATCCAAGTCCGATTCAGTACAGTACATAAAATCCGTGATCTAATCCCATCTGTAAAATATGTCATTCCTGACTTACAATACCCTGGAGTCAATAAATTGAGTTGCATCTGTGGTGATTGTTACATTGGGGAAACGAAACGTCATGTCTCCGATCGTGTCCGCGAGCACAAGTCAGATCTGAAACACGGCAAAATTGAGTCTTCCGCCATTGCTACAACGCTGTGGGCTCTCATGATATTGTCTTATCCGAGACCAAGGTGCTCTGCAAACCTTCTGGCTACCATCAAAGGTTTGTACACGAAGCCATCCAGATATACAAACACAGACATAACTTCAACCGTGATGATGGGTACAAACTGAGAAATCATTGGAAATATGTTATTAACCATCTAAAAAAGATTTAACTACACATATTTGTACCATCTTATTTGACAGGTACTATTCTACTTTACCGAGTGTTGACATCCCCAGCGTTTAACAGTACTGCTTTCTTCTTTTATTTTGATTATCAGCTAACACCGGCCACAACCCCGAGTCGATGTGCACCATTGTTCTCTTTTAGCCCCCCCCCCACCGTTCCATTCCCTGGCTACCACATTAAGATAAGCCCCCCCTCCCCCTTAACTTGTATTTAAGAGCTTGTCTCTTGGATTTTTCCTCACTTGAGACAGTAA